TGTGCCCAGGCCAGCTAATTTTTTTTATTTTTATAGAGTCGAGGTCTCCCTGTGTTGCCTAGGCTGGTCTCAAACCCCTGGGCTCAAGCCATTCTCCTGCCTTTATCTGGAAGTGCTGGGATTACAGGTGTGAGCCATCACCCAGCTTCAAAAAGTATCTTGAAAAATAGAATGATTTAAGCATGAATTTTTTGTTTGTTCATTCGTTTTTCAGTAGAGATGGGGTTTCACCATGTTGGCCAGGCTGGTCTTGAACTCTTTGTCCCAAGTGATCTGCCCGCCTCAGCCTCCCAAAGTGCTGGGATTACAGGCGTGAGCTGCCGTGCCCAGCCAAATTTAAATTTTTTGAAATAATTGCTAACACTGTAGCAAAGCTTTCCTTAGTTGTGTAGTGCATACAGGAAACCTGGTTGATGTGAAATTTCTAACAGCTCATAAGAGTGTACATACTAATAGTATTTAGTATTTTCTAGTGCCCTGCTCTTCACATGTCATGTAAATGCCTTGGCTATATCTAGTATAGATAGTACTAGTGGGATTCAGTATAACCCCTGATTTTTGTTTGTTTTTAGTAATTCTTGTGAGCAGTTAGATAAGAACTTGCTTTGAATTTTTGGTGCTGGTAAGCCAAGACTATGAGAACTTGTTGGATTCTTAAACACTTGAACATTTACCATGCATTAGGTGTTGAGGATGGAAGAAAGAGTAAGACTCAGCATGGCCCCCAGGAATCAGGTCCAGTAAGGGATGCTCTGTGGCCAGGGACCTAATGAGATAAAGTATAAGGTGACAAGGAGGAGGGAATAGGTTAAAAGTAAAAAGACGGAAAAATAATATACTGTGATAACATTAGTTCTTTAAAAAAAAAAAAAAAAAAAAAGCTGGAGTGGCTGTATTAATATCAGACAAATCAGAGAAAATAATTTTGCCACAGTTGAAGAAGGTCTTTTCCTTATGATAAAGGGGTCAGTTCTTCAAGAGGACAAAACAGTTCTAAACATTTATAAACTAAATGACAGCACTTCAAAGCATATGAAGCAAAAACTGATAACTGCAAGGAGAAATAGATATATCCATAATGATAGTCAGTGATTCCATTATTCTTCTCTTAGTAATTGATAGAATAAGGAGACTGAAAATCATTAAGCATGCGGGAGACTTGAACAACCCTGTCAGCTTGCTGGATCTGACTGACAGTCATAGCACACCATCCAGGGAGAGCAGAATGTATGTTCTTTTTTAGTATAAACACTTACAAAGATCATATTCTTGTGAGCCATAAAATAAGCCCCAAATTTAAAATTATGCAAGCCATACAAAATATATTCTCTGACCACACTGGAATTAAGAATAATTCTAATAACAGAAGTATCTTTGGAAATGTCCTGAATATTTAGTAACTAAATAACATACTTTTAGATAACCCGTAGGTCAAAGAAGAAGTCAAAAGTGAAATTACAAAGTATTTAGAACCAAATGAAAATGAAGACACAGCACAGTGGCTTACGCCTGTAATCCCAGCACTTTGGGAGACCAAGGCCGGCGGATTACCTGAGGTCAGGAGTTCGAGACCAGCCTGGCCAACATGAGATGAAACCTCGTCTCTACTAAAAATACAAAATTAGCCGGGCATGGTGGCACACACGGGAGGCTGAGACAGGAGAAATCACTTGATCTGGAGGCGGAGGCTGCAGCGAGCCAAGATCACACCACCGCACTAGCCAAGATCACGCCACTGCTCTCCAGCCTGGGCGACAGAGCAAGACTCCATCTCAAAAACAAAACAAAACAAAACAAAAAAAGCCAGCTGCAGAGGGAAGAAGCTCCTGCAAGAGGCCACAGAGCCAGTGGATGGGAGGCCTTGAAGCCAGCGACAACCCACTCAGCCGAGCTGCTGCTTTTGCATTGCGTCAAGGACGCTCATGAGGACCATTATACTTCCACTGAGAATGCAGATGAGTCCAACCATGACCCTCAGTTTGAGCCAATAGTTTCTCTTCCTGAGCAAGAAATTAAAATGCTGGGGGGGGCCAGGCGCGGTGGCTCAAGCCTGTAATCCCAGCACTTTGGGAGGCCGAGACGGGCGGATCATGAGGTCAGGAGATTGAGATCATCCTGGCTAACACGGTGAAACCCCGTCTCTACTAAAAAAAAAAACAAAAACTAGCCGGGCGAGGTGGTGGGCGTCTGTAGTCCCAGCTACTCAGGAGGCTGAGGCAGGAGAATGGCGTAAACCCGGGAGGCGAAGCTTGCAGTGAGCTGAGATCTGGCCACTGCACTCCAGCCTGGGCGACAGAGCGAGACTCTATCTCAAAAAAAAAAAAAAATGCTGGGGGAAGATGAAGAAGAACTTTTAAAAATGTGAATGAAACTGTTCTGATTTGCCTCAGAGAAGGATCTCCCAAAATGGAAGGAGTGAGGCATCGGCGACATCAAGCTCCTGAAGCACAAGGAGAAAGGGACCATCCGTCTCCTCATGCAGAGGGACAAGTCCGTGAAGATCTGTGCTAACCGCTACTTCACGCTGATGATGGAGCTGAAGCTCAATGTGGGTAGTGACCATGCCTGGGTCTGGAACACCCACGCCAGCTTCGCCAACAAGTGCCCCAAGCCAGAGCTGCTGGCCATCCGCTTCCTGAATGTTGAGAATGCACAGAAATTCAAAACAAAGTTTGAAGAATACAAGAAAAAGATCAGAGAGAAAAGAAAGGATCAGGCAAAAATGATCATGCCGAAAAAGTGGCAGAAGAGCTAAAAGCTCTTTCAGTGGAGGAGGAGACCAAGGAGGATACTGACGGAGAAGCAATAAATCATCTTATTTTATTTCCTTTTCTTCCTTTTCCTTTCCTTTTCAGATTTTACCCTGCCCCTCCTTTCGGTGTGTTTTTATTCTGTTTCATTTTTACAAGGGATGTTATATAAAGAACTGAATTCAACAGTCAAAAAAGAAAAAGATTAAAGCATGAATCAATGAAATAGAAAACAAAAACCAGAAAAAAGCTAAGAAACTGACTCTTTGAGACAATCAATAAAATTGATAAACCTTTATCCAGACTGGTTAGGAGAAAACAAGACACAAATTACCGTACTACCGTACCAAGTGTTGTTGAAGATGTGGAGGGACTGGATCTCTGATGCTCTGCTCATGGGCCTGTAATATGGTATAACCACTTTGGAAAACAGTGTGGCCTTTTTTTTTTTTTTGAGATGGAGTCTTGCTCTGTCACCCAGGCTGGAGTGCAGTGGCACTATCTCCACTCACTGCAAGCTCTGCCTCCTGGGTTCACGCCATTCTCCTGCCTCAGCCTCCTGAGTAGCTGGAATTGCAGGTGCCCACCACCACGCCTGGCTAATTTTTTTTGTATTTTTTTTTAGTAGAGACGGGGTTTCACTGTGTTAGCCAGGATGGTCTCCATCTCCTGACCTCGTGAGCCACCGCACCCAGCCTGTGTGGCCTTTTTATAAAGAATTAAATATACATCTACTATATGATCCAGCCATTCCACTCTTAGGAATTTATCAGGAGATAAGAAAGCATGTGGCTGGGAGCGTAATTCCAACACTTTGGGAGGCCGAGGTGGGCAGATCACCCGAGGTCAGGAGTTGAAGACCAGCTTGGCCAACATGACAAAACCCCATCTCTACAAAAAATATGAAAATTAGCCAGGCGTGGTGGCACATGCCTGTAATCCCAGCTACTTGGGAGGCTGAGGCAGGAGAATTGCTTGAACCTGGGAGGTGGAGGTTCACGCCACTGTACTCTAGCCTGGGCAACAGAGTTAGACTCTGTCTCAAAAAAAAAGAAAGAAAGAAAGAAAACATGTGCCCGTACAGAGTATCTGTGTATGAATGTTCACAGCAGCTTTGTGACAACCAAAAACTAGAAACAACCAGAAAACTCAGCAATACATAAATGGATACACTGTGATCTATTCACACAGTAGAATATTACTCAGCAATGAAAGAGAATGAACTATTGATGTTATTCCATGGATGAATCTCCAAAACATGCTGCATAAAATAAGACAAAATGGCCAGGTAGCTCATACCTGTAATCCCAGCACTTGGGGAGGTCGAGGTGGGCGGATCACTTGAGGTCAGGAGTTCGAGACCAGTCTGGCCAACATGGTAAAACCCCATCTCTACTAAAAATACAAAAATTAGCCAGATGTGGTGGTGCATGACTGTAGTTCCAGCTATTTGAGAAGCTGAGGCCAGAGAATCACTTGAACCCGGGAGGCAGAGGTTGCAGTGAGCTGAGAAATCCCGCTACCGCACTCCAGTCTGGGCAAAAGAGCAATACTCCATCTTTTAAAAAAAAAAAAAAGACAAAAGCAACTTTATGATTTCATTTACATGAAATTCTAGATGGGTGAAACTATGGTGACAGAAAGCAGATCAGCCGTTGCCTGGGGCCGGAAGGAAAAATCACTAAGGAGCATAAGGAGATGCTTGTGGTGATAACGTTCCTTGTCTTGATTGTGCTGATGCTTATATGGGCACATATAGCCTTCAGAGCTCATGAAATTATATACTTTAGATACACACAGTTTCTTGTATCTCAATTTCACCCCCCTAAAACTATTAAGAAATTTGTGCTTAATACTTTGGTGAGCATTTTATGCCCTTTGCCCCATGTAGTTGGTTCTCACTGGTAGTTAGGCAGAGGCAGGTAGAATTAGCAGCTTCAGGTGAGACAGAGCTGAGCGCAGTTTCCTTCACTCAGTCAGGCTCTCCCGGCCGGTGGCTTGTTAAGTCTGGTCTCTTAGACCAGGCCAGGCCGCTGCCCTTCTTTGGTGCTGCCGCCAAGGGAAGTGTTTGGCGTGTGGGGTCTCTACAGTTAGTCCTGGGTCCTAGTGTGAGGCTGTTTTATTCTCTCTTTTCTTTATTCCTTTGGGAGACAACATTCTACTTATGTTCTCTTAATGTTTTGTCCCCTAAGCATTAGCAGAACCCAGGGCTGCATGAGTTTTGAGTTTGTGTCTGGTGTTTTCCCTCAGGGCACAGTCTTTTGCTGAGCGCCTGCGCCTGGGAATTGCAGTGATTCATGGAGAGGCGCAGGATGCCGAGTCGGACTTGGTGGATGGACGGCATTCCCCACCCATGGTCAGAAGTGTGGCTGCCATCCACCCCAGCCTGGAGATCCCCAGTAAGTGTGCTGCTGCCTCTTTCCCACTTTCCTCTGATTTTAAGGCTGACTAAACTGTTGTGTGTATGGTTTTTTCCCTCATTCTTCATTTTTTTTTAAGTTGTCAAAGACTGATTAACACCTTTCTTGGCTGGATAGTAGCGAATGCATTTCTGATTACCTTGTAAATTGCAGGGCCCTTTAGAAGCAGTCTGTCCTTCTTTGCAAGACCTGTGAAAATGTTTGGACTATCGAGACAGTTACGATGCTTCAGGGAAGTCCATTCATTCATTCAGCAGTATATCCTAGAGTGTAGTTGAACATAAAAGCAAGAAGCTTTTTTATGTACAAAGTTATTGACTGTGATGTTGTTTTTAATGCAAAATATCAGAAAGGTTTAAATGGTTTGCCAGAGGGTAGGGCTTGGTAAATTCTATTGTGTCAGTACAGCTAATTATGCAGCCCTTTGAAATAATCAAGACTATCTGGAAACAAGAGAAAAATCTATGGAATATATATGAACAAGGCAGAATGCAGGATTGTATACCTATTTGTCTTAGTTCAGGCTGCTATGACAAAATACCTTAGACTGGGTAATATAAACAACAGAAATTTATTGTTCACAGTTCTAGAGGCTGTGAAGGTCAAGACAAAGGCGCCAGCACTGACCTTGTGATGGGCTGGGCACGGCGGCTCACGCCTGTAATTTCAGCACTTTGGGAGGCCAAGGCAGGTGGATCACCTGAGTTCAGGAGGTCGAGGCCAGCCTGATCAACATGGAGAAACCCCATCTCTACTAAAAATACAAAATTAGCCGAGCATGGTGGCACATGCCTGTAATCCCAGCTTCTCAGGAGGCTGAGGCAGGAGAATCGCTTGAACCCGGGAGGCGGAGGTTGCGGTGAGCCGAGATCACGCCATTGCACTCCAGCCTGGGCAACAGGAGCGAAACTCCATCTCAAAGAAAAAAAGATAAAGGCGCCAGCAGATTTGGTGTCCATTGAGGGCCTGTTCCTCGCAGATGGTACCTTCTTGCTGCATCCTCATATGGTGGAGAAAGGTGGAAGACTCCCTCAAGCCTCTCCAACAAGGGCACTGACACCCTTCGTAGAGCAGAGTCCTAACAAACTAGTCACCTCCTAAAAGCCCTACCTCTTAATACCACCACAGTGGATTCCAACATGAATTTGGAGGGACACAAAAATTCCAACCATAGCATTTTGCCCCCGCCCCTCAAAATTCATGTTCACCTTACATGCAAAATACATTCATTCTATCCTAATAGCCCCCAAAATGTTAACTCCGGGTAAGTCTTAACTTAGTTTTAGCATCACCTCAAAAGTCTGAAGCCCAGAGTCCCATCTAAATATCATCTAAATCAAATATGGGTAAGACTTCGGCTCTGGGATTCACTCTGAGGCACATTTCTCTCGGCTGTGAGCCTGTGAAATCAAACAGGTTGTATGCTTCCAAAGTGCAATGGTGGATAGACATTCCCATTCCAGAAAGGAGAAGTGAGGCCCAGTGTGGTGGTTCACACTTGTAGTCCCAGTGTTTTGGGTGGCCAAGGTGGGTGGGTTGCTTGAGGCCAGGAGTTCAAGACTGAAAGGGAGAAGCAGGAAGAAAGGAGTGACAGAAAAACCCAACCAGACAAACAACATTAAATCTTAAGCCTTAAGAATAATTTTTGACTCAAAGCCCCACCTTCCACAAAAACTAGGGCAGGGGTTGGTCCTGCAAAGCTCTGGATGGCCCCACTCCCACAGCTTTGCTGGGAGCAGCCCATGCAGCAGCTCTCAGTCATTGGAGTCTCATGCCTGCATCTCTCAGGCTGGAGTTGCATGCTAGTGGTTCTACCAGTCTTGGGTCTTGGGGTGGCCCTGCCCCCACGACTCCACTGGGCTTTGCCCTAGTGAGGGCTCTCTGGTGGCCCTGCCCATGACAGTTCTCTGCTTGGGCCCTGGCATTCTTTGGGGCATCCTTTGAAGTCTGGGTAGAGGTAAGTGTGCCCCCACAGCTCATTCACTCTGTGCACTGTGGAGATGGCACTGCACAGACACCACTGTGGTTTGTTGCCTATGCCTTCTAGAGGGGTGGCCCGAGCCATAGTTGGGCCTACTTGAGCTACAACTGGAGTGGGTAAGGAGCACTCTGGAATGTGGGAAGTGGAACCTTGAAATTGTTCTGCCCCCAAGACCCTGGCATTCTGGGCTTATGATGAGATGGGCAGCCACAAAGATCTCAGAAATGCCTTTGGGGTCATTGCTTTACTGTCTTGATGAATAGCATCGGGTTCTTTTATTTATTTATTTATTTATTTATTTATTTATTTATTTTTCTTTTTTCTTTTTGAGACAAGTTCTCACCCCATCACCCAGGCTGGAGTGCAGTGGTGTGATCATGGCTCATTGCAGCCTCACCTCCTGGGCTCAAGCAGTCCTCCCACTTCAGCCTCATGAGTAGCTGGAACCACAGGCACTTGCCACCACACCTGGTTAATTTTTGTGTTTTTTGTAGAGACAAAGTTTTGCCATGTTGCCCAGGCTGGTCTTGAACTCCTGAGCTCAAATGATCCACCCGCCTCAGCTTCCCAAAGTACTTAAGGTGTGAGCCGCTACTCCTGGCCATCTGGCTTCTTTCTATCCATACTAATCTCCTTATCAAATGTTTGCTTGGTGGCTGGGCGCGGTGTAATCCCAGCACATTGGGAGGCCAAGGCAGGCGGATCACGAGGTCAGGAGATCAAGACCAGCCTGGCCAACATGGTGAAACCCCATCTCTACTAAAAACATAAAAATTGGCATGGTGGTGCGTGCCATAAATCCCAACTACTTGGGAGGCTGAGGCAGGAGAATTGCTCAAACCAGGGAGTCGGAGGTTGCAGTGCGCTGAGATCCGAGATTGTGCCACCATACTCCAGCCTGGCGACAGAGTGAGACAACATCTCAAAGACAGATCTTAATCTGTCTTCCAAGCTAGAGTGCAGTGGTGGATCAGAGCTCACTGAAGCCTCGACTTCCGGGGCCCAAGCCATTCTGCTACCTCAGCCTCCCAAGTAGCTGGGACTATGGGTGTGTGCTACCAGGTCTGGCTAATTTATTTTATTTTATTTTTATTTTTTTTGTAGAGATGGAGTCTTGCTTTGTTGCCTAGACTGGTCACATACTCTTGAGCTCAAGCAATCCTCCCTCCTTGGCCTCCCAAACTGTTGGAATTATAGGCCTGAGCCATTGCATCCAGGCTTGCTTTTACATTCTTTTTTTTTTTTTTTTTTTTTTTTTGAGATGGTTTCTCGCTCTTTCACCCAGGCTGGAGTGCAGTGGCACGATCTCAGCTCCGCCTCCCAGGTTCACGCCGTTCTCCTGCCTCACCCTCCCGAGTAGCTGGGACTACAGGCGCCCGCCACCATGCCCGGCTAATTTTTTTGTATTTTTAGTAGAAACAGGGTTTCACCGTGTTAGCCAGGATGGTCTCGATCTCCTGACCTCGTGATCCACCCGTCTCGGCCTCCCAAAGTGCTAGGATTACAGGCGTGAGCCACTGCACCCGGCCTCTTTTACATTCTTTACAAGATGGCCAGGCTGGAATATTTGGAAATATATTTTCCAAATATTTAAGTTCTACTTCCCCTTTGATGATAAATCTCATCTTTAATTCATCTTCTTGGATTTTAGTATAAGCAGTCAAAAGCAGCCATGCACCCTCTTTTGCCAAATATTCTATTTCACTGCCCTTTTTTTTTTTTTTTGAGATGAAGTCTCACTCTGTCACCCAGGCTGGAGTGCAGTGGTGCAATCTCGGCTCACTGCAGCCTCCGGCTCCTGGGTTCAAACAATTCTTGTGCCTTGGCCTCCTGAATAGGTGGGACTACAGGCACACACCACCATGCCTGGCTCATTTTTGTATTTTCAACAGAGATGACATTTCACCGTGTTGGCCAGGTTGGTCTCAAAACTCCTGACCTCAAGTGGTCTGCCTGCCTCGACTTCCCAAAGTGCTGGGATTACAGACATGAGGCACCACACCCGACCTTTTTTTTTTTTTTTTTTTTTTTTTTTTTTTTTTTTGAGACAGTGTTTTACTCTCTTGCCCAGGCTGGAGTGCAGTGGTGTGATCATGGCTCACAGCAACAGCCTTGACCTCCTGGGCTCAATCGATCCTCCCACCTCAGTCTCCCAAGTAGCTGGGACTGCAGGCATGTGCCACCATGTCTGGTTAATTTTTGTGTTTTGTGTAGAGATGGGGTTTTGCCATGTTGCCCAGGTCAGTTTTGAACTCTTGGACTCAAGGGATCCTTCCACCTCAGCCTCACAAAGTGCTGAAATTACAGGTGTGAGCCACCATGACCAGCCTACTGTCTGTTTTTCTGCTAGCATTATGATCGTGACCACTTAGATCATTTCCAAGAAGACTGAGGCTTTCTTTACAACTGTTCTCTTCTTCTGAGCCTGTCTTAGTCTATTTTGTGTTGCTGTAACAGACTACCTAAGACTGGGTATTCTATAAAGAAGACACATTTATTTAGCTCATAGTTCTTCAGGCTGGGAAGTTAAAGAGCATAGCATCATATCTGGCAGTTTCCGGTGAGGGCTACACACTAGGTTGAAACATGGTGGAGAAGAAGAGTGAGCAGGCGGGTACAGAGAGATCACATGGCAAGAGAGGAAATGAGAGAGTCTGGGAAGCCAAACTCGTTTTTATAATAACCTGCTCTCATGGGAACTAAGTGCCCTGAGAGCAAGAACTCACCCCCATAGGAAGACATTAATCGATTCATGAAAGATCTGCCTCTGTGACCCAAACATCTCCCACTAGGCCCCACTTCTCAATAGTGTACACTGGGGATCAAATTTTTTCTTTTTTCTTTTTTTTTTCTGAGATGGAGTCTTGCTCCATCACCCAGGCTGGAGTGCAGTGGTGTGATTTTGGCTCACTGCAACCTCCGCCTCCCAGGTTCAAGAAATTCTCCTGCCTCAGCCTCCCGAGTAGCTGAGACTACAGGTGCCCACCGCCACACCCGG